CTCATACACACCCAAGTCAAAATTTTTATATATATCGTTTTTTTATGCACCCTACACAGACGGACTACATGTCAACGCTGGAGAAGGAGTACGAGTACCGCGACGAGCATTTCGATTTCATACAGCAATGGATACGAAACTTTTGTCTGCGGCACGGCACCTCGCTCTTTTACACAAGCGTAAAAGAGGACAAAAACTGTGATCTCCTTTATAAATATCTAACGCATCGAATTTATGGTCTACCATTCCGTACGCCAGCGCTGGTCGTGGAAAAGGATGCGGTTCTCATGTGCGTTATGTTCCCATTTCCCTTTCATTTCGATTGAATGGCTTGTAATCTGTTGTTTATTACAGTCCGGCTGGCTGGGATAGCCTCAAGAAAATAAGTATTCTGTATGAGAACATGCATGCGGTCAAGGCCGAAAATCATTACACAGATATTATCAAGGCGCCGCCCACACGAAAGGTGCGTTTGGAAGACGCACCACAATTGGCAGCCTCAATTAACACTCTTCTCTACTTCTCTATTTGCTGCAGGCCGTTTCCAATCGTGAAACGGAGGTGCAGACCGAGGATGAACAGGCCTTCCTGGCACGCCAGCAGGAGATACTCAAGCAGGGCGGCCAGGTGCGCGGCGAGTCGCCGTTGCGATCGCAGGGCGCCAGCTCTGGCAACAATAAAACTGGACCACGCACACCCGGCAGCGCCGGCCAAAGTTCACCCAAAAAGGTCTGTGCCAAATAAAATAGCTGCATTAGCTTTCTAAGCACAAAATAGCTCCACACGTTTCTCATGCATATCCATTTACAATTACAGATCGATCCCAAGCTGACGCCTGCAACGCCTGGCGGCGAGGGTGTGCTGGCAAATTTCTTTAATTCGCTGCTACACAAAAAGTCGGGCGGACCAGCTGGTGGACCGGCGGGCGCAGCCAGTCCAGGTGGCGGCATGAGCACACCACGCACATCCAATGGCACCGATTCACTCATGACGGCCGAGAAGCTAGCCGTGCGCTCAGATGCGGCTGCCGAGCTGGATCGGTTGGCGCGTAGCGTTAAAAAGGATATTGATCTGTCCCAAAGTGAGTGTTGAATGCGTACATACAACAACAACAGCAACAACAACAACAACAACAACATCAACAATAGCAACAGCAACAACAGCGCAGCAGCAGGTTAGCAACAGCAGCACACACACACACACACTAATATAAATCGAAAGAAAGAAAAAACCTCATGCACAGACTCGTTAACAAAACAAATGGACTTTACATGCACTGCAGATCATAACTTACCCGACATGGTTAATAATTCAAAGGCTAAACATTTGCCAATGCTGCTGCACATATAATGAGCAGCAGAGTATTGCCAACTGTTTGGGCCATGTCGAGAGCTAAATGTTAACAAAATATGAGCAAAGAAAAAAGCAATTTATATATTATTCTGCAGACCATGAAATATTAAATTAACGCGGTTGATGATTAGTTTAATAATTGCGTATGGCATTCAATGTGTATCGTTCGTTGTGTGTTGATATCTTCTTACGAGGGCCTGGGCATTCTGTAGATTACGGATTACATAAATACAATTATATATATATATGGAAAACCAATATAAGACAACACAAAAAACAAAAATACAAAAAAAAAAAACATTTATAAAACGGCTTAGCTTTGAAAAAAAGTGAACATATTTGGAGAGTGTAAAGCGCCTTCGCGTCATGCTTCTACTCCGATACGGCATGCATGTGCTTATTCTATAAATTAATATGCATAAATATATAAATGATATATTTTTTTTTTCGTTTGGTATAAGCGTAGTTTGGGGCCACACATGTGTATATTTAAATTATTTAAATTATGTAATTTTTAAAATGTATTTAAGAATGCGCCGACTGTGCAATGCTTTTGTGCGCTGAGAGATTCAAAAAGCCCCTGTCCGCAGGGCTTGGCAACTGCTTATATACACACACACACACACACACACACACCCATTTACAAGTAACTGTAGTTGATAGCTTGTATGTTCATTTTTAATTATATCAATTAATTACACACACACACACTGGCTTTATGTAGTATTTGTTATAGACATGCGTCCTTAAACAAGAGAAAAGGAGCAGCAGAAAAACGAAGAACAACAAGATAAGCATAAAACGTTAAATGGAAAACAACAAACATAAGCAAATTTAGATAAGTATTTAAATGGAAAACGAAATCCCCAATGCTGCACACTTGTGTTTTTCTTTGTAATTATGTAACAGCTTTTGATTTTAATATAGTCTGATTATTATTTCTTTTCTCGCTCAAAGCCACATGCGTTTAATTAATGTCGTATAATGAGAGTATACAAAACTAAATGAAAACCAACAACAACAACTACTACTACTATTATGAATTAATTTTACTTAGCAATTTTAAACGAAACGAACTTAACTGAAATTCTTTTTATGTTCGAAAGTCAAGCGAAATGATGTACTCAAGAGCCATCGCTACAATAACGCCCAATATCCAGCAAATTTTTGAGAGCTACCTATATACATAAACATATATGCATTAAAATGAAAAGACGATACATACATTCACTGATCACTATCCACTCAGCCGAATTGGTTTTGATTGAATTTTTTTTTATTTTTTTTATGTTATAAATCAAAATGTGTACCACAAGTATCAAATGTATAACTTTGACAAATTGTAACAGTTTAACGGAGCGAGTAGGAACAATGTTTGTACTTTTGTATATTTGGCCAGAATAAAAATGAAAATATGCTTAAAACCTCGCTAACAAATATATAATCAAATTGTTTGAAATTCAACTACATTTTGCCATATACCTCGGCCCCATCGCAAGCGGCAGCTCCAAATGATTTCTCATTTTAAACTAGCTTCCTGTTTGCATCTCGCTCGTTGCTGTGCGTCTGAAAAGAGACAACAACAACAACAACAACAAAACGATAAATTAAATATGAACTAAACAATTTGTGCTACAAAACCTATTTTTTATGTATAAACAAAAACATTGCATATAATAAATATTGTATTACGTATTAACAAATTATTATGGAACATATTTCAATTGAATATATATATATATATATATATATATATATGTATATATATATATTCAATATATATATATATATATGGTATTTATTCTGCAAGAATTTCAGAAGTACAATTACAACAACAACAACAACAACATATGAAGCGTTGACTATTTTATGTGACCCAAGAACAAAAATTTAATGTTAATTCATACATTTAACTATACACAAAATATTAAATGCAAACACAGCGGCAACAAAATAAAAAACCACGAAAATATTTAATAATTCAATTAAATATTTGTATAAAAAAAATGTAATTAAAAACTGAATTTTCTTTTAATCAGATGATATACGATTTTTTGACTTAACAAATAACTATAACTATTATTATTTAGTTTCCCAATATTTAAGTCGCAGACCAATTAAATGTTTACATTTCCAATAAGTTATACCATTTAAATTGTTCCTTTCAATAGTTGGTTTAAGATAACATATATATACATACATTTGTTCATATATAGAAATATACATACATGCATACACACACATATACATACTTACACACATACATACCTACACATATACATACCTACATACATGTACACTTTATACATACAAACACTACATGCATATATATATATATATATATATATATATATTCAAACAAACATACATACATACTTACATGTAAACATACATACTTACATACAAACATACATACTTACATATAAACATACATACTTACATACAAACATACATACTTACATACATACTTACATACAAACATACATACATACATACATAAATACATACATAAATACATACATACTTACATACAAACATACATACAAACATACATAATTACATACAAACATACATACTTTCATACAAACATACATACAAACAAACATACAAGCAAACATACATACAAACATACATACATACAAACATTACCAAATATACAAACACATACACCTTATATGAACACAACACTTTTTCACAAAAAAAAACTTTTAGTCAAAGCAAGGAAACCTGCCAGGCTTACTTGAACTTTTGAGAATCGAGGAGGAAGGCACCACTTTAAAGTACGTTGTTTTTAAATTTGCAGCTTTAATTTAAGTCTGTTTACATTTCCTTCATTAATGCTACATGTCTGTATGAATGTATGTATGTATGTATGCATATGTATATAATATATATATATATATATGTATGTGTACATGTCTGTGTACATTCATATATTTATATACATACATACATACTAACATAAATACACTGAACTTGTGTAAATGAGGTAGTGAGCAACATTAAAAAATACGTTTTTGGTATAGATCACATGCGCATGGATAGCTACATATATCATACATACATATGTACATATACAAATACAAATATACAAAAATCATACGAGTTAGTGTAAGTTTGCATGTGTAGTGTAGTTGGTGAAGCTTCGGAGAAAACAGACACTTTTTTACGCGCTTCGCAATGTGTTACATTTTGATTTAAAAAGCTGCTGTTTAATCGCACATTATTAAATTATATACATATGTATATCCTAATACATCTATTTGCGGTACGGAAAACAATAATGTTGAAATTTGCGTATTTAATTTTGTGAGTCAAGTGCTACAGTCTCATTGTTAAGTTGTTGTTGGAAAGTCTCCCTAGCATATACATATATACATACATACATATATGTACATGTGTATGTATGCAGCTGTTGCTTCTGCTTAACTCTTGCACTGTGTCTTTGCTACCGGTGTTTAATCGTAAATTAATAAATGTGTTTTAATATTAAAAAATTTGTGTGCCGTGCGGGAATGATATGTGAAGCAATATACATACCTAGATAAAATTTGCGTATTTAATAACGCTGCAGTCGTTTTGATAAGCTCTTGTTGGTAAGTCTCTTTAGCATATGTATGTAGGTATATACATATGTAAGTTTGAAGTTCATCCGAGACTGTTATCTAAAAGTGGATCAGTATCTCTTGCCACAGCTCGCCTAGTTTCAGTTTCCAATTGAAACTTCGGTTTTTGTTAATTTGCAGTGCAGCGGGAATAGAGTTTAGCCTGCGTTTCGCATAGATCATATGTACATGCACAGCTACAAATATCATACACACATACTTACGTTCTTACATATCTCCACACATACATAAAAATACAAGTGTAGAAAAATCATACGATTTTGTGTATGGTTGAATGCATGTGTGTGGTGCAGTTGGTGAAGTTTTGAAGAGAACAGACGCGCTTCGCATTGTGTTACCTTTCGATTCAAATAGCCGGTGTACAATTTTGAATTATACATTAATAACTCTGTATGCAGTGCTGGAATGTTTTGTTAAACAATAAAGATTTAATTTGTGTATATAATTTTGTGTTAAGTCGCATTGAAGAGTTTTGGTTGTCTCTCTAACACATGTATGCTACGTGCATGTACATACATATGTATGTATGTCTGTATGCAATTTTTGCTTCTGCTTTACTTCTTTGCACGTAATCTGAGAGTAGATCAGCCTCTTTCCGAATTGTGTTTCATTTTGACTTAAATAGCCGGTGTTTAATTGTACATTTTTAAACGATATCAATAAATAAAAAGTAATAAATATGTATGTATACATATGTGCCGTACGGGAAAGTTTTTAGAACAATAACGATAAAATAAGCATTTATATTTTGGGTGTTAAATGCAGCAGTCGTATCGATGAGTTGTTGTTGGTAAGCCTCTTTAGCATATCTATGTATGTATGTATCCATGTACATATATAACGCAACTGTAATCTAAAAGTAGATCGACCACTCTCTTGCTCTACCTCTCGCCTAATTTCAGTTTCTTCTGTTGTTTGCTGTCCCCGTTTGTCCGTTTGATACTGTCTTTGGTTACCACCTTTTTATACACTGATCCCATTGAAACTGCAGCATACATACATACATACATATGTTCATACATATATAAATACAAATGTGAAAAAATCATATTATTTTGTCTATGTGTGAATGCATATGTGTAGTGCAGTTTATTTACGTGCTTCGCATTGTCTTACATGTAGCCGGTCTTAATCGTACGTTACTAAAGTCTATCATTAATAAATAATAAATCTGTTTGCTGTACGGGAATGTTGTGCGAAACAATAAGGTTGAAATTTACGTATTTTATTTTTTGTGTTAAGTGCTTTCTAGTCTAGTCACATGTATAAATATGTGTATGTACATATGTTTGGAGTTTTTTCTTCTACTAAATTCCTTTGCACTGCGTCTTTGCTATGCTCGTTGGCAACCGTAATCGGAGAGTAGATCAGGCGGTGTTCGCATTGTTTTTCATTGTAATTTTAATAGCCGTCGGTTTTTAAATTCTATATTAATAAATGTGTGTGCTGTTCGGGAATGTTTTGTGAAACAATTAAGATAAAATTTGCGTATTTAATGTGTTAAATGCTACAGTCGCATTGAAGAGTTGTTGTTGGTAAGTCTATTTATCATATGTATGTAAACATTTACGTATATACATATGTTACTATGTGTGAACAAAGTTGTAGCTTCTGCCTAACTGCATTGCATTACTACTTTGCTGCGCTTATACGCAACTGTGTTCTAAACGTGGGTCGACCCCTCCCTTGCTCCATCACTCGTCTAATTTCAGTTTTTTCGTTGTTGTCTGTTCCCGTACGTCCGTTTGGCACTGTCTTTGGTTACCATCTTATACGCTGATCCCATTGCAACTACAGCATGCATACATACATACATATGTGTGTATATAAATACAATTGCAAAAAAGTCATACGATTTTGTGTATGGTTGGATGTGCAGTTGTTGAAGTTTTGAAGCAAGCAGACGCACTTTTTTACGTGTTTCGCATTGTCATACATTTCAACTTAAATTAAATTGCCGGTCTTAATCGTACATTATTAAATTCTATCATTAATAAATAATAAATCTGTTTGCTGTTCGGGAATGTTGTGCGAAACAATAATGTTGAAATTTACGTATTTTATTTTTTTGTGTTAAGTGCTCTCTAGTATCTCTAGCATATGCATGTACATATATATATGTACGTGTATGTATGTACGAAGTTGTTGCTTCTGCCTTATTCCTTTGCACTGTGTTCCCTACGCTCGTACGCAATCGTAATCTGAGAGTAGATCAGGCGGTTTTCGCATTGTCTTTCATTGTAGTTTTAATAGCCGGTGCTAATTGTCGGTTTTTAAATTCTATATTAATAAATGTGTGTGCTGTTCGGGAATGTTTTGTGAAACAATAAAGATAGAAGTTGCGTATTTAATTTTGTGTTAAATGCTGCAGTCGCATTGAAGAGGTGTTGTTGGTAAGTCTCTTGAGCATATCTATCCCTCTCTCCACATCTCACCCGTTCGTCCGTTTGTTGCTGTTTTTGGTTACCGTCTTATTATACACTGATCCCATTGAAACTAAACCAAACATATGTACATACCTACATACATAAAACATATATAAATACAAATTTACAAAAGTCATACGATGTTGTGTATGTATGTATGTATGTATACATTTTTAGTTATTTGGTGAAGTTTTGATAAGAACAACGCCTTTATTTACGACCTTAGTATTGTGTTAATTTTAGGTTTAAGTAGTCGGTGTTTAATTATTTAATTTAATTAAATTCCATCTTAATAAACAAAAGACCTGTGTGCGAAACAATAAGGTTGAAATTTGTGTTTTTTATTTTGTGTGTTAAATGCTTCAGTCTCATTCATTAGTTTTTGTTGGAAAGTTTCTCTAGCATAAGTATGTATGTATATGTGTATGCATGTATGTATGTATGTATGTTTGTATGTACATATGTATGTATGTATGTATGTGTGTATGTATGTATGTATGAAGTTGTTGACTTCTGCTTTACTCCATGTTCTGCGCCTTTGCTGCGTTCGTACGTACATAACTGTAATCTAAAAGTAGATCAGCCTGTTTTGCTCTCACTCGTTTAACTTCAGTTTCTTCCGTTATTTGCTGTGCGCATTCGTCCGTTCGATACTCATTTTGGTTACTATCTTTTTATACCCTGAGACAATTAAAACTTCGTGAAAAGGGTATAATGATTCTGAGCAAAGATATGTTACTGGTAGAAGAAAGCATCTCCCACTCCATAAAATATTTATTATCTTGATGGGGGCGACATGTTTGTAATTGATTTTTTTATTTTCCCCCATTTTTTCAACTTTGGATTTGGAGACTTTTAAGAAGCGTATCTTAAATATTTTGAGAATATATACAGAGTAAGATTGCAGTTTGAATAGTTCAGTCTTTCATACCCAACTAAAGTACCCTTATACGTCTTGTACAGTTAAGTTGGAAGGGGGGTAACATTCATACATATAAGATACAATTGATCAGGGTATCAAGCGGAATGCAATTAAAATTCTGGGATTCGGCTTCGCTGAGAATGAAATGAAAGTTGACAAACCGAAAATGGAAATACAAGGCAGCAAAACTCTCCAGTGCTAAGCTACAGCTACGAGCAGTAAGGAATAACGTGAATCGGAACAAACGGCTTTGATGTGGAGGCTTTTATTAATGATGTTTAAGTTGCTGACATCGACGCTGCCGATGATTATCGCGTTTCAAAGGCGGAGGGCGATTTACAGTATGGTGGCGGCAGACCATAACATTTTCACATCATTGATATTTTCATTTCGATAATGATTTTCACAAAACGTCAAACTGCGTCTATGTGGGTATACATATGTATATGTATGTGTAAGTACATACATATGTACATATGGAAGCGTGTGTATGCCCAGGCCTGTGCCCTTTCTGTAAATATGAAAAGATGGCGACTGGCGTCAAAGGAACAGCTGGCAGCTGTTTTGCTGGGCCATGTTTGCCTCGATAGCTTCAAGGATAACACTTTACTTGACCTTTGTGTGTGCGCGCTCTTGATAAATGATGACGCCGATGCCACCGCTGCCCCTGTTGTCCCCCCCCGCCGATGTCACTGCCGCTACTTTGCGCGTATTGTTTCAGTTCGCCTCCTTTGCGCTTCGACAGTTGCCAGCTTGTGTGTGTCTCCTCTGATCCGCTTTGCTTCTGGCTCCCTTTTTGCAGGGTTCCGTGTTTTATCCCGAAAGATGGCATGCGGCGCGCTACGTGCTCATTTCGCTTATTGCCAGCGTTGCCAGACTTAGCCGCTTGCCAGCCTGGATTTAGTTCAATATTGACATTGATTTTGATTTGATGTTCAGCTGCATGCACATACATACATACACACAGAGGTTACTTGCGTGTGTGTGTGTGTGTTCTTCTGTATGCATTTGTGTCAAACTTTGCTTGTGGCCAATAACTTCTATTAAATCGTCTTAATACGCACAATTCTCATCACAAAATGTTTCTTTAAAATAAACACGGCTGTGGACCAAGGCCGCAGGCAGCGTATCAATAGCAGCGCATATTCTTAATAGTACACTTATAATATACAATGTATTATGTAATAAAAAAAATACTACTAGCATTTTTAACTTTATAAGAATCATAAAAATTAAAGACGTTAGTTTTACCATATAACTTTTCTTAAATCAAAGAAAGAAAGAGAGAGTAAGTGAGTGAAAAAAAAGAACGCAAATCAGAGAGAATTGTTGGTCAAATTAATAAACAAGCAGAGCGAACGTAAAATCAATTTAGCACACATTTTCATTAAGTGAATAACTGAGAATCACATAGAACGGCAATCTTGCATATTTCTTTTTTTTGCGCTGGAATCGATCAGTGCCTTCTGATCTCTACCAAGCGGAGTTAAGGGTATATTGTATAGTTATTATTTAATAACTTAAATGATAATTACAGACTTAAAAATATATAACAATAATGGGAAAGGGATGTTTAAGTGATGCGCCTCGTTGGTAGGTCGTCGGGGTGTAGCCTTCGGAGGCGCCTCTCACTGATGGGCTCAGCCAGGGCCCTTGCGGCCGCGTTCGGATGCTGCACCAATTTCTTAGATTTGAATTGAAAGCGTAGCTGGTGGGATTTCCGAAAATTAAAATAAAATTCATCTCTGTATAGTTAAAGAAAACCTAAATACAAAGTATGGTTGTTTCGTTCACATAGAAGGTATTTCATTTGTGCTAGCGGTTGGGTCTCTATCTGCCTGCTTAACCATTTCCGATACCCCTATCATAAAGCTGCCATAGGAACGATCGGATGATATGAAGGTTATGGCAAAATATTTTAGTTTTCAAGATATTTTCATCAAACTCAGCATTTACTATTCACATTCACTATTCTTACATCTCTGCAAAACCGTAAGGCGAATGTCTACAAGGGTATTAAATCTTCGGCGTGCCGGAGATATCCTTACTTTCTCCTTAATGCATAATATTGTTATCAGATATGTATGTATGTATATTTATTTTTTCTATAAGTATTTTAAATTGGGCAATAAACAATAGTATTTTTATTTGTACAATAAAGCTATTTTATACAGTTGATATTATTAACACAGTCAATTAGATTCGCAAAAAATCAATTTTCAATTTTAACATGATTAAATGCCGATATCCATACAGAGCGCCAAATTATATTTCCGTTTATTTGATTTTAATAAACAGTTGTGCAAACTTTTTGATAACATAGGCAACAATACACACACAGACACACCCACATAGACTAAACAAGAATGACGTTAATGGGAAAATAATTTATGCAAAAAAATCCAAATAAATATATTGCGTTTATTAATTTTCTGCACGAACCGTTTGGCAGGCACATATATAAAATTAACATGCATACATAGCATTAATTAGTTATACCAGCAACAATATGCTTTATGGAAATTAATCGATCTAATTAAATTTGCATAAATTTGTGGCCGAGTAAAAACTCTCTATACTTCTACATTTCTACATAATAATTAAGACAGCCGAAGGGCACGACACGTTTTACCCTACACGTTGTCGGCTGTGGTATGTAATTGGGGAGGATATTAAATTTATAGATAGACTTCATTGGTGTACATTAATTTGCTAATGAATATTTTTTAGTATCAAAAACTATAATTATTTATGCAAATGCATATTTATATCTGGATCGGGATGATAATATTCGACGAAAGCAATCGGCTTACGAAAAATGATCAGATTTGAGGCTGAGCGAACTATATAAGTTCGTGCCCGAAATTTCATTATAATTTTTAAACCAAACCAAACCAAAAAACAAATGAACCGAAATCCGGAATAAACCATATTTTTTTTTATTAAAAAAACGGTTTGCCTTATAATACAAAACTTTTGAGGCAGATCCAGCAGCAAAGTATAAATAACTTTGGCCCAACTATTGCATTTATCGAAGCATATTTGGTAGACGCAAATATTAGGAAGATATCAAATTTAGCCTGCACTTGTATATGAAAATATAAAAGACTTTCAATATTTTCAGTGCAACGGGCAATTGTAAATTCAATATTAGATGTTTTATGAAAAATTTAAAAAAAAAATACGTCCAAATCCTGGATTCAAATATGGGTATTACCAGGTTCAAGAATCGAAGCTCAAGGCAGGAAATCAGTTCGAGCCGTGAGGCGAATTGTTGTGGCCTGCTTAGACCTCAAATTTTGGCGAATTAACTTTTTTATTCTGATTAATTTTAATACAGCTCGCCGTTCAATACATATATGTATAATAAATTCTTATGCACAAAATTGCTTTCGTAATTTTTTTTTAGTTTTCAAGGCTAGCAGACGCTGTATTTATATGGTAAAATAAAATTTTATTGTGTCCGTAAAAACAATTACTGCCTGGTAATTTATAAGGCCAGCTATCTAGCATCTGACCCTGATGTTCATACTGATGCTTTGCCATCACATTTGTCCAACAAATTGAGTTTCCGGTATATATGTGTATAGGTACATTACATGTTTAATACGAGCATAAAATGCGGCACTTCTGATATCTTAAATGCAGTTGCTTTCGACCACAAACACTCGCACACACACACACACCAAACCATTCGGCTTGGCTGTAGAAAGTAATTGCCAACAGTTTTCTTAACGTCTTAATGTCTCGATTTTGCTGAGGACACTTTTCGAGCATTGCAATTTTATTTCACAGCTGCCTTTTCTGTGTTGGTTTTCAATTGTTTTGTTAGCTTTATTGTTGTCGATCCGGTTATTTGCAGTTGTGCCTTTGACATGAACATCCGTTGGCCCCCCTACAAAAAAAAAGGTCAATTAAAACCATTAGAGACAGACAATTATTTAAGTCATTTGCGGAATGATTTGCGGGTACAACGATTGCTCGAAAAATGCAGCTTAAGTGAGATGCGTATTATATTATATTAATTTAATGGAACGGAGATGCATATGTCAAGAAATCTGTCTTGTCTAAGACACTGAAAATTTATTTACCTAAGAAAACTGTATATATACTGATGGAAACTATTCTTGTCTTTTTTTGGTAGTTTAAAAGTTAAATTTTGAGTTCACTTCAATATTGCTATAATTCGAATACTCTGCATTCGCTGCCATTGAGTCAGTCTGTCAGGATATACATAAATCTAATTTATATTGGATTTATTATTTAATATTTGAAATTCCCAACTTGTTTTAAATCTTAACTGTCTTTAGCTGTTTTTAAGAGTAGTCGACTTAGATCCCAATACAAAATGTAGGAATATATCACCAATCAATCAGTCATCATTTTTGTGTTATAATTCCCAATTAGTTAACTATCAATAGCTGCTTTTAATTGTTGGACATCGCAAATATGTCGAAGATCCTTGTATATCATATGGGAGTATATGACCAGACAGTCTGCTCTCTATATATTGCCATTTTAAGCATTAGTGTAATTCGTGGTCAAATTATTTATTTTCACACGCTTGTATCGAAGTCTCACCCCTCTTTTTTTTAATCTTATCTGGCTCAAGTTTGTTGTGTATTGATACGCGCAGAAAAACATGTATGCTTCGAGCCATATCGTGTAGACTGGAGCTTTATTGTTTGTCTCCATCTACCTATCTATTAATGTTTGTATATGTTTATGTATCTTGATTATCTGTCGGTCTGTTGTTTGTTTGTTTGTTTGCTTATTTTTGTTCCTCCGCAGCTGTGTTCTGTGTGCCGTTAAAGTTGTTTTGACGGCTCAGCTTTTGCCCAAGGCCAACTTTTCTTACATTCGGCTCTCATTCTCAATCACCCTTGATATTATTCTCGGCTGTCGTAAACATCAATTAAGCTGTCATTATATCTAGAAATTCTCTTTAATGCAAAACTTGATGTTCCATTTAGAGAATACTTTTTTTCAATAATTGCAATTTAATAACATAATAATTATCTAAAGCTAGCACATAACATGCCCCATTATTAGGCTAGTCAAGTACAGGATATTATTCTGTCGAGACTGGCATTGAAGTACATTTCTCACAAGCAAGGCAAATATGAAATATGAAAGAATTTCATTGATGAACCGCGAATTCCATTAACTGATATCCAAGAGGCGGAGCTTACTCGTCGCTCTCATAAGGATATAAAGACCCTGTTGAAGACTGAATGGCAATCAGTGCACCAAAAATGCTAAAGAACATCACATCTATATTGATACTTTCTGGGTCGTTGGTAGTATGGTCCTTGGCATATACTATAACCCCTTTCGACAAGGATGGTAAGTGGCAAAAAAAATAATAAATTGGTGTACACTTATGAACAATGGGTGTGTGCATTAGGTATACCGACTAACACGGATGTTACAACTGCTCCATTCCTAAAGATCGGCAATGGTTATTACTTTTTTGAGAATGCCACGAAAAGGAATTGGTACGATGCCTACGAACAATGTCGTCAAATGAATGCAGGACTGATTAGCTTTGAGACAGTGGAAGAATGGAGTTTTATAGATCGCTAACGAAAGAGCTTGGGAGATGAGGACAGATACTGGACATCAGGCACAGATTTGGCTAAACAAGGATCACATGTTTGGTTTGCAACTGGAAAGCCAATAAACATTAATGTTTGGGCTGCAGACAATCCCGATAATTATAAAAATAATGAACACTGCGACGAACTTGGTTGGAAGTCACAAGTATTAGAAGGGATTGAGGGATTGAATGATGCACCATGCTCAACGGAACTTTATTATATTTGCGAGGCACCTCAGCCCCAAACTGCTTCATTCTTTGTATGGTAGAAAAAGAGATCAACGATCCAAGATCAACGTTATGACAGGCATGACCAGAGCGCCTCAGTTTTTCTTTCTGATCGAGTATATATATGCATAACGGGCATCTTTCCGCCTGTTACTTACATGTTCACAAAACTAGTATACCCTTTTTCTGCACATTTTCAATGGGTATACTTATAATAATACAAAGTTGTTGCTATATAAACATATACCTATTAACCAGTTGATTGATGTGCATCAAATTATACTTTATTTTGTCGATTGAAAAAAAATCAAAGAATTGTTTACATAAATATAATGTATAAACAAAAAAAAAACACAAACAATTTACAACTGCTCGCCGACTGGCTTGATAATCATCTCGTGCACCTGCATATGTGGAGGCGTGGCAATGGTAAACAAAACCGCCTGCGAAATATCCTTGGCGTTGAGCATTGTATTGCTAGCCATATCACGGATATTTTCTGGCACGATTTCCGTATCGACGACACCAGGACTGATGCTCTGCAATTGTGTGAGGAATTAGGAATTAGTATCGAAAACAGTTTTTCGCAAATGATATAAATTTGGAAAAATTTGTCAAAATGAAAGAACTTATTGGATTAAGGGTAGTCTTAAATGGATTCCTTCATTACCATATGAAGATGGCTGACAATGCTTTGGATATTGATTTTGTTTGCAGTGCCTGCACTTACCGTTATCTTGACGCGCGTACCCAGACCCATGAACTCCTGGCGATACATTTCAGCCAGAGCGGTCACCGCATGCTTGGTGGGCGCATAGACATTCATATCCGGCGCCTTATCCGGCAGAGGAGCGAACAGCTTGTGGCCAAGTATGCTATTGATCAAAATAACGTGGCCATCGAAATTGCGCTGCTTCATCGAGCGAAAGGCGCGCTGTGTACAATTTATGATGCCCATTATGTTGGTCTGGACCGTTTGCTGTGCCAGCGCGATGGGCATGTCCACCAGCCGGCCATGTTGCAGTGTGCCAGCATTGTTCACAAGTATATCGATGGCGCCCAGCTGCTTTTCGATCGTATCGAATGCCTCCTTCACCGAGCTCTCATTGCCCACATCGCATTTGAGCGCTATTAGCTTGTCTCTGCGTGCAGCAGGCAATGATTTCTGCAGCTCCTTGACCCGTTCCACGCGACGTGCCAGACCAACAACAACGAGTCCAGCATTAACCAGATCCACGGCTATCGCCGATCCAATGCCCGAACTAGCCCCGGTGACAACAGCAACTCGATTTTGCCAACGTTCCATTTTCTCAAATATCTACTTAGACGGAATGCTTAAGTTGATCTGCGCTTTTCTAACGCTCTATCAACGCTTTATATACCGGCCGATCGAATTCGCAGTCGCTGTGGTATTTTTTGTAACCCTTGCGTGTAGCTGAACGGGCGGGCATCTCTAATATACAGCTCGCGTCTACTTATCAAACCAATCGAAAAATTTAATTGAGCTTATTGATAAACAGTAAGCGTTGACTAACGAGTAGTCTACTTGTTTGTTCGCTTGCTGACGGGCACATTTCTCTCTGCTTGTCATGCACAGAGAAGTGCTGACTCACATCGTTGGCTGCACCCGCAGTGGCAAAAACCAACCTCCTCCCCTCACACACATCCAGCAGTTGGCAGTGGGTACATATCACTTGACATTCACCTGATGACCTGATGTGGTGGGGTAGGGGCTTCGATACTATGCGTATACTTAAAAACCAAAGGCATTGTAGGGGTTACAAGTATCATGATTGTCTAACTTGTTACATAATGAAATTTAGCTATTAATGGGCATATAAAGATTCTTTATACATAGATAGTGCCCGAGTTTTGAACGCTTGCTATGGGTATTTAATACTTATAACAGCGGTTTATGTAATTATATCAGCTTAAGGTTCGCTTCGTGAATCTGGTTTTTCGATCCAATGAACCCCTAGATATTGCATATTCATATTCTAAAATATGTACCTCGCAGACAATATAATATATTGGTTTTTGGCACCTCGCTTTAAATTCTTCCAGGTGCTTTTAGATGCATTTAACCAACTTATGAAATGTAAATATATAGTTTTTGGGTTATGCTTAAATAATAATGTCTCAAAATCTATTTTTATCGATATATTGTTAATGGGGCAATCTCTCGATAAAAACTGAAACATTTGTGGCATGGGAAAAAATATTTTGAAAATATATAAATATATACATATAATATATATATATACAAATCGACGCGTTCCTAAATATATATATATGGTAAGAATATATATACATATATATAGCCAGACCATTTGTGAAACATATTCTTTGTATGAATGCTGTAGTTCTAAAATAAGCCCAATTCAGAACTATTTTTTTAAATTTGTTATCTACAATCAATCTACAATTTTTAAAAGTTAAATTCCAGTTCGATTCAGATCTACTTTTTCATACGGAACAGAATTAAATTGAACACAATTTATAATTGACTTTGAGTACTATCATATATGCACTCATGCATACATATTTAATCAGATGTTTGCAGTCTGAAGAGTTGCAATAACCGATTGCTATTATCTATACGGTAGATGATAGTGAACCTCAAGTACACATATAAATTTATGGCAGCCGTAAAACGGTTATTTCAAAGTGACAAACGAATTGAATAATACTAGGAATTGACCAAGTCACGTATTTGTAAGTATCATTCAGATGTTTGCTTGCAAGTACTTAAGTGCACGTAATACTCATCGTAGCCATTAACAGACATGCATATTTGATAGCTAAACACATATATTTTGGAAAACGAAATAACTTGACTATATACTTCTACATGCACATCTTAATTTCTATTCAGCAACTCATTCCGCTAGAACTTGTACCTTCTTTTTTAATTTACTATGTGAACTTAACTCGTATGTTTTTTAAGCTATGACGCAGGGTATAATAAAGCTGTGTTCAAATTTAGAATAATCAGCTTGTCACGCACACCTCTAATGACGATAAAGTATATCATACGAAAAATAGGTTTGTTCTAATTAGTTCTTTACCCGTATATTCAATTCTCATAGAGTCAAGTAATATCAATATTTTCTTTGTTTGTCCGTGTCTTTGATCCGTTATTTAGTATTATTTTTAGGAAATAATCATAGTACAATATTGGAGATAGGCTATGATTGTTTGGTATATTATCTCTTCGCTGTTTATATCATGCTTAAGAGAAATGCAGCTGGGCACTTTATATGTACATGTGTGTTTTAAAAGCAAGCATATATATTAAAGCACTTTTGCGGCTCATCATTTAAACAATACCATATGCACTAGTTGGCCAGGCAATATTTGCAATCGTCATTGCCAAGTGGCTGCTCGGCTGAACTGCTGCTCCTACTGCCGACCCAGCAGCCAAAGGACTCCTCCTTGACACTGGTATTGGTAAATGCTGCACAAGAAGGGCGCCTCTTGCCTTTTGCTGTTTGTGGGCACGTCGAGTGTATCGACGGGGGCATAAGATTAAATATTTGTCAAGCAAAGAGCAGCTGCCTTACCAAGTTGTATTGACTGAGGCTACAGACTCTTGTGGAATGCATTGGTTGCTAAGCCAGAGCCAGTTTCAGCTGTAGATATTAGTCTTTGGATTTGCTTTTAAATTACCGATCAGAGTAAGGGATAACATATGAGGAATGCATATTTTGCTGCTGTGTGTGCGGTTTCCGTATACCCTGTACATCTAAGCGTGCTGTAATGAGGGTTCTCTTTTATAAGCATACATAAATATTATATTGTTAGTTTTGAGATTGGGATTGCACTAAAATCTCCGTAATAGAGTTTATTACAGCTGCTAGTAAACGAGTGACAAATAAGGGCTATGGAAACAAGATGAGTCTTAAGTTCTCTGCGCTGCTCTACAAGGGTTTTATTCTCTCTTAATTTAGGTCATTGCGTGTTAAGTATTTAGCACACAATTTTTATATCGCTATAAAGGACAGTTTTTTGTTTGCATTTCTACGGGTTTGAATACCCTACACCTATAAGAATGGCTGATCGGGTATTACGAGCGAATGATAATCTATGTAAAAGACTGAGGGGATTTCTGAGTATTATTATTATAATTTCTGAGTAAATTAAAAATATATATAATTAATAATATTAATTTAAAAACGTGAAGAGCGCCAAAGCTAGCAATTTATATTTAATGAATAGTATATCCTCGATAATCGGTGCAACCAAATTTATATAAATGTGTATATATATACTTTATTTTTGTCGCCTAAAAAGGCATATGATTTAAGTTTAAACTATATTTTGGCATGTCATTTTCGGGAATTTTGACTAGACTTGGGCGTACACCTCGAAATTAAATTTTCCTAAAGTTTGGGCTTAATCTCACAAGTAAAACTAAATGCATATTTGGCAATAGATGTAGTATATCGCAGCTAATCTCATCCGCATCTTAAGCTATCGTTATATATTTATTAAAGGAACGTCTTATTTGTACACAAGTACAGGGAAAACTCTCTTTTGTCCGCTCAAGAGGGGTGTTCGTTAACAAAGCTTTCACTGTATCTGTTAACCAAAACCTATAAAGTTTTAATACAAATGTGTCGGCAGAAAATACAAAAAGATGTTCACTGCATATGTACATTCACAAAAAATAAAAGTATAGACAAATTTATAATAATAATTTGTATTGGCCCGGAATTTTTTTAAGTGCATGCATCGTGCTCGTGGGGCGCACGACTATCTCTAGTTTCGACTGCAACGTACTTATTTATAGAAAATTTAATGTTATGGTACATTAAAATAGTGAAAACTCTTTTGGGCGTACAGCGACCGTCGGCTCAAGAGGAGAGTTCCGCCTTATAGTTTAAGGGATATCTAATAGTCGAGCGATTGTGACTTGTGTAGTTCCAGTTTAATTTTTTGCTACTTAATGTTGGCTTGTCCCCTTGCCGTTTGGATTGTTGGCTGGCTACTGTGTTGATTTTTTAAAAGGACGCCAACTGTCATGATGCAGCGCAGATGATAATGATGAAGACGTGGCAGCAACAGCAACAACAACAACAACAACAACAACAACAACAATGCATGAGAAAAGTTGTCTTTTATCTTGTGAAAAGCATGAAATGCAAAACACTTGAACTGAGTGGAAACGAAGGCGAAAGTAAAATAAGTAACAAAACAAAACAAGTCACACACACACACACCCACATATACACACACACACAAACACAAGCACACACATACACACAACAAAATGAATACGCAAAAGCGGCGGTGTTGATAATGACAGCAAAGACAAAAGCTATGCACACGCCTAATGGGGCGCCGGGTCTAAGTCTGAGAGACGGATGACTGTCAGACTGTGTCCCTGTGTCCATATCCATCTCCATGTCCTTGGAGCGCGCTACAGCAGCAACAGCAACAGCAACAGCAGCAGCGGCAACGGCAACGGCAGCGGCTGTACTACTAGTTAAATTGCCTGTCCTCGACGATGTCGCTCCTAGTAAATCAGACCCCAACAAACCATAAAAAATTATCATGAAAGCAAAACAAAAAACACGCAAAAAATAATCAGAAAAAGTGGGGCGACAATTCGCTGAATTGCAAAGATTAAATGATTTCGCTTTAACTAGCGATGCTCGTAGATAAACAGCATGAGTTTAATATAAATGCTACGCGTTGAGTTAACCTCTTAATACCCTGTAAATCTGCTAATCAGCGACATAGCGAGTACTAATCAGTTAATCAGTTATTGTCTAAGCAAAAAAGATATTAGATATCTCTGGAATATACATAGTTAAATTAAAAATTGGTTCGGTTCCAATTTGAGTTTGTTATGGCAAACCCCGCCCAAAGCCAAAGCTGAGCTCATAGAGATGGAAAACCAGGTGCACGAACCGAACATTTAGGCGATTCAACTCTAAACGGAACCATCGTTAACTTTTGCTGGTTTTTCCAATCATGATATTTAAGCGGGAAGGGCAGCAGGCTTGCCTGCCACAAAATGCTGATTAGATTAATGTGTTTTTCTTTTCTCTCTATTTTTTTTTTTTTGTTTTTTGTCTTTAATTCAAATCTTTAAGTTCTCGCTGCTTGTGCTAAGAATATTTTTACTCAAAATGCTTATCAGTTCATTTTTATTGTGTTCATAAACTATGCGTAAGCATTTTGTATTTTTTTTTTTTAATATTCTTTATACGTTATTTTCTCACACTGTATGTAAACATTTGATTAAGATAGTGGGTTAACCAATTTGACTGGGCAGTCGGTTCGATTTATGAATCATGGCTCGCAGCCAGCAATCAGAACAGAAGGGTTATGCATGTTTTACGACAAGAGTAACATTATTTTGTTATGAGTAGCTCAAGAGTGTGTCGGCCAAGGGCTGTGTGGCATCAAGTTTTAGAGCTGTGTGATCAAATGTGTTAATTTTTTATGATCTGACCCAGGGCCAGGGCCAGGACCAGGACCAGAGTGCAGCACGCAGATATATATATATATATATATATATATATATATGAAATGTTTGTGCTCATTGCTGAGTGCTTGGCAGTTGAACTATGCCGAAGCCAGCTAGCCAGCAGCAAAGAGAAAATCAGCAGGAGCATCCTGCACATAGTTCATCAAGTTGGCAAACAAACGCATGCCACAGCCAAAAGAAGTGGATTGTGCTGCCAGCTGGCTGGTATGGGTGCGAGATTGGATTGGGGCTGGGTCTGGGGCTTTGAAATATGTTAGCAGTTGCATTTGTTGATGAGAGGACGGGGCGATGGGGCAATCGCATTATGTTGCCCCTGGGTGTTGCAGCTGTCTTTGTTTAGCTTCTGACCATCCGCCCTCCCGCCATTAGTGGCAATGGCCAAATAAATTTTGCCCAGCTGCATTGGCCAGAACCCGTGGAGAGTCGGCATTGACGATACTTGGCTGAAAGTGGCGAGAGCTTTTGAACAAGTGGCAAAATAATTACCGAAAATACCAGCTACGTATTTCAGTGCCCAGCGTCGGCAAACTTACTTATTCCATAGTTAGCATTTACGATTTTTCATACCCTAGACGACAAGTTGGTTAAAGACTAGCTTAGACTAGAGTATTAATGCATTCATTTTAACTTACTCAACTTACATAAATTCAATTGTGTCGGTGAGGGATTGGATTGACAAAAGCTTGGAGTCATTTTAGCTGCTATCTTCTGAATATCCTGAACCCTTTTAAAATGGGTAGAAAGGGGTATGATGGTTTTATGTACATAAATGTATGTAACAGGCAGAATATGGCTTCTACGACCCTGTTGAGTATAAATATCCTTGATCAGCATCGACTGCCAAGTCGATCTTGTCATGATTCCAATTATAGATATCACACCTCGTTTCCAAGAAAAAAACATTATTATTACCATCTAGTTTTTTGTTCATATCTCGAAACTAATAAGAGCTAGGGACACCAAATAAGGGATGCAGCATATCTTAGAGTATGCAGAGTTCCAGAATGATATACCTTCGCCGCAAAATTGAAAAAAATAAAATAAAATGAAAACCAAATATTAGACTATTTGCTTGGGCATTGGTGTTTGCGCACATTTGGATGCCTGAATTATTTCTTGAAAGTTTTATAAATATAGGACAATAAACACCGAAGTTAATCGAGAATGCGGCTGAGGTGCGTGTGTATGTTTGTATGTGTAAAAGGATACTAGAATGTTTAAAGCGGCAGCTCAGCTCCGGGTCCAGGGTATCTGCTAGTTAGGCCTACCCAATGGAGAACTCTTGGTTTTTTTTTAGTGACTTGCTATATTGGCCTGTTATTGCAGTTGGCCTAAACCGATTTGGCCGCACTGTTCATTTTGCATGTGTGGGTGCTTGTGTGTGTGTGTGTGTGTGTGTGTGTGTATGTGTGTAAGTGTGAGCCTGTGCATGTGCTGGAATTGTCGTTTGGGCTGACAGTTGACTTTGGACGCTTTGTGTCAATTGGTATCACTTAGGCCAAAGCGTCGTGCGGCTAAAAGCTATGCCAAGCACAAGTTGACAGGGTCAATATACATAGGTACATATATCTATCACAAGTAGGTATTTAGATATCTATCATATATAGTCTTAGCCAATACATAGCTTTAGATCAGGCACATCAATTGCTATGTCGTCATGGCTAGTTCTTTTTTAACGGATGCTTAATAATTTAAAAGAGCTCGTTCAACATAAAACTGTAAATAGGCTGTATTTAAATCTTATTTTATTATTATCTTAGTTAATATAATGATTTTGCTTTTAGGCAATGGCCTTTTCCTATTAGCTTGTTTTTTAACTGATGCTCCATGAACTAGTTCCCTTATTGAACTATAAATAAACTATATTTAAATTGAATATTATAATCAATTATTTTAACTAATATCTTGCTTTTGATAAGCTTACCAACTGCTTTTCTTTAAAACTTATCGAAATATCTGATGCTCAACTGTTAAATTGAACTAGTCTACTATTAAATTGAATTTGTTCACTGTTAAATTGAACTAGTTCACTTTTAAATTGAACCATTACAGGTGCCAACTTATAATAGTTGAACAGTTGACCTTGTCGACCGCATAATCACTCGCTTCTAACCAAGTTCAACGCAGCCGTTAAGGAGTTGCGTTCGTTCGTCCCGATTTGTCGCTTTCTTACCGCATCACATGGCAATGCCAATTTATTTTATATGCCCTACGTGAGTTTCCGTCTATGGTTGTGTTTCTGGTCCAGCTGCCACGAGGACGAGGCATTACCCTCATTGCGGGCATAATATATTTCTTAACGGCGTTTATTTCGCATCATAGTTGAAAGATGGCTGTGTAATATATATATATATATATATATATATTTTACATTTTTCTATGTTTGATTTTGGAATTAGAATTCAAGAGCATTTGTATGACTGTTTTAAATTTATTCTGTATGTAATCCTTTGTTTTATGTCTATCATTAATATTAAAGGGTATTTCATTTTCAATGAAATTCAACTTGAAGGATATTCTTTTTTATGGATTTCTTTTCAATTTTTTTTTTTTTTTGTTTTTTCTGTACTCCGCATTTTGTTTCATTTCACTGAACGTTTTCAAATTTTTCACTTGAGCGCGTTTTAGCAGCAGGTTTTTACTTCTTTAACGAGGGTTTGTTCCTTAAGTTTTCCGCCCAACCATTTGAAATAAGCAAAGCCAAGCGGGTAACATGTGAGGCTGACCCAAGTTCCAGTTCAGACTCAAACTCCAGATTGGGTTGGTTGGATGGTGGCGTGGATGTTGGTGGGAAGGGTTGTAACAACAAGTAGAAAAAAAAACTAACCCACTAAAGCATTGTCCTTTTTAAATATTCGCTTTTGACGGCAGGCTTCGCCTGTGAGGTGCGAGTTATGAGTGGATGAACATATGGGCATATGTTCATGTGTGTGCCACTGTGTGTGCCAGTGCAAAGCGTTACTTGTATAAACAGCTGGCCGCCTAGCTGGCCCACTAGTGGGTCGACTAGCCGTCCAGCTGGCTGCTCTATCTGCTTAGAGTTAAAGAGGATTCCGTCAAGGACGGCGCAGGCGAATTATGTTCAAGTTTACGAGCATATGCATGTCCTATCTGGGTCTGGGTGTGCGTATCCGTGTGTGCTGTGCGTGCGTGTGTGTGTGGCCCACACTTTAGGCCCACAACGGCGCCTCATATGCGAGTCTTTGTGTTTGCGCATTCAAGTGGCGTCTCTGCAACAGCAGCTGGCGCTGCAGCTTTTGGAGCTGTTGCGACGCGACACATGCCGCAACGCAATGTGCAACATATTCTCTGGCCCCTCCTCTGACGTCCGTTTCTCCTAACTGGGCTTAGATGGTGCCATACTCGTGATTTTCTTCATTTTTTTTTTCTTCGCAACAAAGTAAGTTTTTCATATTTATTATGGCTTTGGCAGACAAAAGCTTATAACTGGTTCACTTGGCCCCCAAATTCGTCGTGGGCAAAACTAATTTTGGGAAAAAATGAATCGAAGAAGTTTGAGCTGTAAAAATCGCGGGTGATTGCGACAATCCTCACTTTAATCCGATTTATTTTTCAAGCGCTCTCACGTGGATCTGTTTGTTTGGGCTTATTAATTTGTAGATTAATATAATACAAAATGAATTTTATAAGCCATAATGCTTCCGATATTCTTCCACCCCAGGAAAAAGAGAGGCTTACCAAAGGTGAAAATTTGTTGTTTATGGCAGTTTGCTCTCTTGGGTATCGCAGCTAAATATATGTGTTGCAATGGAGTTTAACCGACTGCGCAATACTCTATTCACTTTGTAGAAACAGCCTTTATCAGACAGAAAGTGTCTTTCTGCTTATAGGGCTCGTCAACCTAAGCCTGTACCTAAGATTTTACCTAAGACTGTACCTCAGACAGCACCCAAGACTGTACCTCAGACTGTACCTAAGATTGCACCTGACTGTACCTCAGACTATACCATAGACTGTATCTAAGACTGTGTGTTAGCAATATATGTTTTTGTGCGTTATGTGATTAGTTTTGGCTCAATATTTAGAGAAGGAATAGTGTAGTCCAAATGCCAACTTTTGAAACTCTATCGCTAGAACTGTGTGAGATATAGACTCACGTTTTGACCGGCCCTTAGTGGGCGTGATCAAAAATTTGTTAACACCTTGTCGGTATGTGCATAAAAAATAAGATAAAATAATACAATATATAAGATAAGATGAGTGTTCTTAAAATCTAAACTTTATGTAAAAGTCAAGCTTTTAGTTTCGAAACCCAAACCGATATACCCTTGTTAACATTGTAAAACGAGTATAAGAATGGGAATCAGAGCTTTTGCGAGCTTTGAGATTTTTCGAATTTGTGGCACACGAATTTGCCTGACAAATAAATGTTTCAAGTAAATGCACATAAACCAATATATGATGCGAATATACTAGCATTTGCCCTTTGGAAAAGGTTTATACAAATAAATTGAAACAAGCATGTGTGAGGCTCTTCAAGCCACAAATTCCTTTCGGCACTCTGTTACAAACATTTGCACAGCTTTCATAATCCCCTTCTGTGACTCGCAGTGCGTACAGGGTGGTCACAATATACTGCAGACTGGACATTGGCTTGAGGCCTACCTGCTTTGGAAGCTGTTTTCATTTGTGCACTGACCTTCACAAGTTGACTGAATTTAAAAAATTTATTTTATTTTATATTTTTATATCTATTTTTTTTTTATAAGGTTCAAACGTGCAACAAAGCAGCATGGAGCAAATTTTTTGTGACTACGCTTTCCAAATGCACATAACTGGGCATCGACCCACACACACACACATGGGCACATACGCACACATGCACATACACACACACACAGCCGAATATTGATGATAGAACTTCATGAAGCATACAAATGTTTGCAATGCGTAAATGCCCGATAAACCACACAGAGAGATACAGAAAAGTTTTGTATTGTTTATTTTTCGTATACCCTTAAAAAGTATATTACATTTTGTCAAGAAATGTGGAACGCATAGAAGGAGATAAGGGCGACGCTATAAAACATATATATTCTTGATCAATATCAACAGCCGAAACAATATAGCCATGACCGTCTGTCTAGGCTCTTAGTTTTAAAGCTATCGTCATGAAACTTAGCTTAGGGATATATTTTTGTTGGATCGGGCTACTTTATTATATAGTTGTTCACGATCCAACTCGATCACTTGAAAATTCAGTTTATATAAGTTTTCCACGATATCTTGACCAAACTTGGCATCGACTAATTTCACAGATCTTCTCAAAACTACTATATCATATAGCTGTTATGTACGATCGGTCGAAAATTAGATTCTTGTAAATGGAAAATTGATGTCTGTCTAGACATTTTGACTAAAAACTTGGCATTTACTAACTTTACTTCGCATCTTACATATAGGTCAAGTCTTATTAAAATTGGATTACTTTAAAGTATGTTCTTGACACAAGAATTTTTTTTAATTAAGATATTTTGACCAAACTTGGCAGGTATTAATTTTTTCGATACTTTTACAACGGTTTATTATATCATAAATATATCATAGGAATGATCGGTTGAAAATTCAGTTTGTGTATAAAAAACTAATTTGTTTTTTGTGATATTTTGAGCAAACTTGACTTGAGTGAAATACTTAACTCCTTAAATAAATAGTAAGAGACAAATGTTTTAGTTTTTCACGATTTGCAACAATAGGTAAGGGTATTCAAGCTTCGGTGTGCCAAAGACAGACGTTTTTCATGCATTTGGCTTTGTTTTTTTGCCTAGTTCTGGCTGATTTGGCTCCAGTTGTTATTATTGCCGCTTTTGTTGTTGAGTGCAATTTTTGGAGTTCGTAGCTAGCAGCTGACTTACGAAAGCAAACTAAACGCTGTAAACAATTTGTGGGACAAAAGTCTGAAAGCTGAAAATGTTTAGCCACCGATGGCAGAGTGAATCGCTTGACTATGCATGAGCCTGTGGTGCACGATTCACGGAACGCTTGCCATATTTTCGTGGTGGCTTTGGACCATCATTGGCATCGTCAGAGACAACGCTGTCGTTGTCGTTTTTCGATTGCCAAATGAATTTTGCCAGCCAGCGAAGGCTGAAATTGGCTTTTGCCTTTTGGCGAACGTATTTTGAATTTTAATGGGACGGCGCCAAAGACGCAAAGCAACAGTGGTAACCCTTTTATCCCTTTTTCGCTCCTGTCTCTCTTTCTATTGATGCTTTTTGTTTGTCATTTCAAAGACACACACTCACTCACACATTCACAATCAAGCACACAGAAACACACACACACACCCACGCATAATATTTTAGCCGATATTTCATTAGCAAAGCAGCCGAAAAGGCATACGAATATGGCCAAAAGAGCTTGGTGGGCGTGGCCTGGCAGCTGGCTTGGTTGGTTTCACCCCAACCCCCGTACCCATTTCCGTCCCTGAAAAACCAAAAATCAACACATGCTCTCAACTTGGCGGCATTGGAATAGACGCACTACAAAAAGACCGCAATGCGATTGGATTAACATTTTCTGAATATCTTCCATCTCAGATGATGTATGTGTATGTGGGCCTGCTGTCGCTAGGCTGTCATGCCCTCAGTCTGTCAGTCAGTCAGTCAGTCAGTCAGTCAGTCAGTCAGTCAGTCAGTCAATCAGGACTTGAGCGTGAGTGCGTCTTAGTTTGTGGTTGAAGACTTGGGCGAATGATTGGCAAGCAGCATATTTGAATATTTGATTGTTCTTGTCACTCTCACACTCGTACAATGTGTGCGTGTGTGTGTATGTAGATGTTCCTTTATTTTTATTCCACTTTATAGGCAGAGTACATAGATAAGTGATTTGAATTGAGCTATACGAAATAAAACGTGAATATAGTCTTATAAATCTCATCGAAAACAAAAATGTAGGGTAAACTTCGGCACACCGAGCATAGGGCTTTGCAACTATGTGAACAGACTTGAGAAGCTCGCTGTTGCTGGGGATATCTTGAAAAATAGAACATTTATTCATACTTAAACGAAGTTCTCGACTAATTTCTTTCTATATATGTATATAGATATATCATAAAGTGAAAGGATCATAGATAAATTTATAATAAATTTGTTCAAGATATCCTGCAAAACCAAAAAATTTTTATTGAAAAGAACCGTGACAGCTATATGATGTAGTGGGTCGATCCGGTCGGATTCGACATATGTATTAACTGCAGCCGAAAGATCTATGCTAGTTTAAATAGAAAGAGATAGACGGGTAGACGGACATGGCTATATCGACTCGGCTGTTGATACTTATTACAAGAAATATATATAATACCCCAAAGGCATGACATTAATATACAATGGTATACTTACTTATATATTCAAATATCGAGTTGCAGAACTTATGTATAAATTCAAAGGTTACGATAGGTCAAAATTTAAGATTCAGTTCGACATGAATATGATATATGAATTTGTTTGCATTTAACTCTTGTGCGTCATTTAAAGAACCTGCCTGTGGATAGCCTCCATCTGCTTGTTTTTACTACTGGTCGTGTGTGTGTGTGGGTGCGTGTGTGTGTGTGTCTGTGCGTAAGGTCATGACACACATTTGACAAAAAAAATAAATAAAAAAAAAAAAGAGAAAAGAGCTGTCGCAGGGATGGCTGTGTGTTCTTTGAGGTCCTTGTCGTGGCCGTCCATGCCCTTTGTGGCTTTGCCTGTTGCCCCTTGTTACATTAGCGGACTTTCGGCCTGATTAGGCAACCGCTAGAGCGACTGTAGCTGTAGCTCTTTAGGCGTGCCCAGTTCTGGCATTTTGACCTTGGCCGCCACGTTGCGCCTTTGCCAGATGACCCGGCAAAACAAGCAAGTGCTCGCCAACAAATGTGATTCCCAAATGTAGCAATTAATACTTAAATATAAATAGAAATTGTGATTTATAATCAAGCTAATGGATATTTCAAATGATAATTGAATATACGTTTATTATATAAATGTGTTTGATAAATGTGATGGTTCAACCTTAAGAGCTTTTGGATTGAACGTGACAGAGGTTTTTTGAGAAGTCAGGTCAAAGTTTGTATAAAAATCGTCAAGTACACTGCGGTGTGCTTTGCAAACGTCGCACTAACAAGCAGGTGGTCGCCGGTTCAAACCCAGCAATAAATTTTACTTTCCTTTTCAATATTATCCATCAGAGTTGGGCGACGCCTGGTCATTTTTTTACAATAAAATATTGTTTAACTTTTTTTTTTTTTAATTATTTTAATTAAGACAATTGAGAGGCTTCATTCCTTTGACGCTTGAGAGTTATTTCTAGAAAATTTCTGATTTTTCTAAAATGCAAAACTTAAATATTATTTATTACTTTTTCCCGACAGATTCGTAATTATGTTGGCCGAATACATGAGTTATTTAGTTTGTGGCAAGTTGTGCAACAAGGAGACATCAATTTCTGTCCTTATTTCGAATACACAATACAAATCCAGGTATGTTAAATAATTCATAGCACATTCTTGCAGTTAGCATCTAATCTCTTAGCCATTAAATAACAATTACAGAGAGAATAAAGTCATTTCGGTTATGTTTGGTTAGGCATAAGTCAAGATTTTGCATTTCTATGGGTCATATGAATGCCAAGTATGTACATATATACAAACATACATATCAATGTGTATGTGTGTGTAGGTGTAGGTGTGTGTTGGTGTTTGTGTGTGTGTGTATAAATTTGACTGTTGGTAGCTTTTCCGTTTCGCTGAAACTGTGGCGACGCGAATCCGAAATGCTTTTGCGTGTGGCAAATACTGAAATGAATACGAGCTTGGCAGGGGGGGGGGGGGGGGGAGAGGAGGGCAGGAAGGGCTGGAATCTGGCGTCAGGAAGTGGGCAAGCAAACGGCAAGGATCCGCGTGCGCCTCGTTGGCTAAGAGAAAGAGATTTATGCCAGCTACAACAGCAACAACAACAACAACAACAAGAGCAATTAAAACAGCGGCAATAACAAATAAGAATGTGATAAAAATAAAACAAAAGTGAGAAGCCGTCATCACCAAGAAGGTGGCACCCATATCACCACCCACAACACCCACACCCTCTACCTTGACGCTCACGTAGTGAGACAGCAGCCGCCCGCTGCCTGCCTGGCAGCCTGCGTCCCGCTGCCCATTCTATGCGAAAAAATGGAAATAAATGGCGACGGGCGCTTTTAATGACGCAGCTGTAAACACTTTGAAGGCGTGGGCCCACTTGGCAACGAAGGGGGTGGGTGGAGTGGGAGGGGGAGGGGTGGTAGCAGGACGAGTCGTTGGAGAGAGCAAGAAGCATCTGAGACATGTTTGCTAGTGTCCTAAGCGTTCACTTGAAATGTATTAATAATTGCCTAATGCATGCCTAATTAGCCATGCAATCTACTCACACATCTAAGTGAATCATAGTGTGTGTGTGTGTGACATCTCCTATAGTTTAGCTCAAAAAAGCCAAATTCAAAGCCAAGTTTTCGCCTTTGCGCTGTCAAACAATTTTTGATAACCAAACTTTTTACCGGCACCCGAAAAAAAAAACAAATGCGTATAAAAAGCAAAATACCCAGGCACATGCCTCTCCTCCATTGGGTTATTAGCGTTTCGCTTTCTCTCTCTTTCCCTCTCTATCTCTTTCTACTTACTTCTCTCTCGCTCTCTGTGTGCTTGTGGCGCTGTCGCGCTCTCTATCGCCATATGCCCAACAAGACAAACGTTCAGTGCCCGGTGCTTTTTACTGCTGCCAGCAGGAGAGAGAATTTCCCAAGGGAATTTTTTTATCGCATGCTATAATTGTATGATATCTAGCCTTGCTTGATTCACAAACGTATTTTGACGTACTTTATCACATGGTCCTATGAGACATCCTGGCATTGGGATCCTTAGTCATAAGGGGCTTGAGAAAAATATATACATTTTTTAATGGTGCTTATGAGTGTTTGATATTAACAGCGAAGTTAGTGTAAATAAACTCAGCATTTGGGTGCTGCAGTAAGATATATATTAGATATCTGAAAATCTTTCGGTGCAGCATGTTAAATAGCTCCCATGGGAAAAATCTGTTAGATATATAAAGGACATCTTACAACCCAATGAATACAAACTTATACTTATTTATGTTTGTCTGTGTAACTGTATGTCGAGCTGTCTGTCGATCTATATTATATATGCTATAATTCAAGATATATGCTACGATCAAGAGACATCAAATATAGTATGTAAGTACTCTGAAACTATAAACAGATCAAGTTTATTTTACTTTGCTCTAATCTCTTTGAAAGTGTTGAATACTTTTGTGCAAATGTATGTAGCTAGCCGGAAAAACAAAAATCCAACATTACATTTATATACATACATGCATGTATATTTTTGATCAGGTCAACGGACCAGGACGATTTTTTTTATCATTTTCAAATAACTAAACCATTTTTTTTGTGAGTGTACTCTTAAAGCAATTATGAATATTTGTAAACGGCAACTCCGAGTTGGCCACAGGGTGTCGCCTAGTCGGGCACACGCGACACTCGCATTCTGACTTTCATTCGATCTGTCTGCATATAAATTAGTTGAGTATACTGATTTTTTCAAATGAAGCTATTGAAGTTCATAAAGTAATTGGAGCGTTTTAACTAGTCATTAGGAAATAGCATTAAAGCAAAATATGCTCTTATAATATGTAATAGTATATTTTAATTGCTACGCGATTGCGCTGGTTGGTTTCTTTGTGCTGAATTTCATGGCATTTAAACAGCATTTAAATGAAATTAAAAATTCATGCGGAATTTAACGGAAAAACAACAAGAGAGCAATGACAAAAAGCTGACGCATTGCTGTTAAATGACAGATAAAAAGTAGCTGGCAAAACAAAATGGCGGGCGGTAGGATGGTCAAACCCCCCCCCACCTCCCTGCCTCAGGGCCCAGAGGCCCCCGAGGCCCTGGGAACGAGTGGCGTGTGCCAAGGTAAATAATCCAATTAAAATATAAAAAAGAATATGAAAACGTTAAGATGCCAAAAGCGCATTAGCTTCAAGTAGCGATAGCTAAGCCGTCAAATGTTTATTTCAATCCAATTAATATTATTGTTGTTGTTGTTATTTGTTATTATTGTTGTCCTCGTCATCCAGCCGCTGGTTTGACTATCAATCTGCGGTCTGCACTGCGCTGCCACGCCCACGCTTCACGAACAGATCCACTCGAATGCCTGAGAGCTGGCAAGGCTGATACAAGGTTGAGTTGCGCGCGACTCCTGTATAACCTATGTGAAATATGACTGGCTATGCTCTGCAAACCCTCAAATTGTATTATCTCTGGGCCACGCCTTCTTTTATGGCCAGCTCTTATTGTCAAGCTGCTGATGCTCTCATTGTTGTTGTTTTTGTTTTTTCATGTTTCAATATGTTGTGTCCGTGGGGCTGTGTAATCTGATTTTAATGTTGAATGTCGAAGCGCGTCAGGCTGTAAAGTGCATAATAAAATTGTAGAAATTTAATTATGCGCAATTAATGCGCATTAAATGCAGCAACAGGATATTCAGCGACTGAGTCCAAATGGGGCGTGGCAATTGCCCGATACCCGATTGCAATGTAGGCGCTAGCTCAGATGGATGCCATGGCTGCCAGCTAATTGACAGCAAGCAAAGTGGCGGAAAAAACAAAAAAAAAAACGGCTATATACGGCACGACGAATATATAATACCCTTGTGGACATATGGCTTGCAATTCATTTTCCTGGGGCTTGGCAAAAGTATGGGTTGAATAGTGAAGCTCGCAATTGCCCATAGAGCTTTATGATATAGTAGTCCGTTGTTAAATGTGAGCGGCACGGTATGATATCTTGATTCGATCATTCCTATGGCAACTAAACGAGAGAGTGCTTCGATCCTGCAGATTCCCAATTATGTATTGCCTGCAACAAATAGACGAACCTATGTAAAGTTCCATAATGGTAGCTTTAAACAGACGGGCCTTGCCAAATCGACTACTCTGTTGATGCTGATCATAAGTAAATACATAATGGACTTATATTTTTATGAGAAAGTTGTAATGCCCTGAATAAGGGTATAAACACAGATGTATAGATAATTAATGTTATTATCGACCAGCTTTTGGTCATTTCACATTTTCAAGCTTCATTTAATAGATATTATCAAAAATATTGTCTAGCAATTAATTTCGAATCGACACTTAAATAAAGTGAAAATTTAAGAGCGTTAAAAAATTACAATTTACTATTTACAGACAGGCTAGTCGATGCTCTTTATCCAGTACTACGTATAAATTTCATTGCTGTAAGCAAGATCTATATATATATATATATATATATATAGACAAAGCCCCCGTTCCGAATTGTGTATTAAACATTCGTTCTTACCTAATCGCCATGTTATCTTCCATCGGAGAGAAGTGCTTTTCCTCTTGCAACATCCTTTTAACTGGAAGATAGATACGAATGTCTGTTTAGATACAAACAAATTTCACTTGTTTTGAACCCAGAATTTTAATTTGTTATTGATCGAACCTTAAACCGAAAAAAGCGAGGCGTTGGTTTACAACATGAACAAAACAGCAGAAAACGTTTGTTGGGTGTAGAGCTAGTCGTATATTTATTTACGATAACTATAAACATTTGCATAATTAATAAATAAATAAATCCTTTGCCTTGATGAATAGAGATCAGTATTTGAAAATATTTTATTTAAAATGTTGAACCTTTGGCCTACGGCCAGGCAGCTTCATAATCAAATTCAAGCTGAGCAAAAAGTAAAAAAAAAAAAAAAAAAAAAGTTTTCATAAATTCTTTAAAACTCGCCAGCTACCTGAACATGACTAAAAGCCGACGGCAAAATGGAAATTGCATAAAGGGTAGCTTATGAGATGGGGGCCAGAGTACAGCACTATAAACATTTGCATTTGATTGCGTTTGCCACGGTCAGATAAGCGAAAAAAAAAACCAAAAAAAAAAAGAAAAAAACAGGTTAGAAAAATAATATAATAAAATAAAAAGACCTATCATAAATATTATGTGTGTAATATAATAGGCGAACGAAAAGAAAAACAGCAGTTTTTATGACAACAGTCACATATCATTGGCGTCAGCTGCTCGTAATTGCTCTCAGTTCCCAGAGCGGGCTGCTCTATCTATATGTAACATATAAAAGAGCTTGACCTGACTAACTGACTGGCCACGCACAGAATAAATTGTAAGAGCTGGATAGCAGAGATTTGAAGTGGGACCGCTCTTTGGGTCAAAAGTGACCACATCAACAACAATGTAGCCCTATAGGTCAAACTTGTTGTTAGGTGCGGCTTAGCTTCGGACTAACAAGCGGAAAGTCGCCGGTTTTAAGCTAACAGCAAACTTTGTTGTTTTCTTAACTGCAGTGCTGTCTTTGGCGGACCCCTGCCCATTAGTCTCTTGAGTAGCTCGGTGGGTTGAGTGAAGGACAACATTTGCGGTTCAAATCTCCGC